TCAACAACGACACGCTCACACGCGCACACACGTTTCATGCACATTTGCCGTTCCGGCGGTCGACACAGTGGGAAGGGGAATAGCAACTCGCCTTGGCTCCTCATCTATGTCGATGTCCGTGTGCAATTGCTGTTGAAGCGGGGGTGAAGCGGAGACTGGCGGTAATGGCCGAAGTCGGAATGAAGAAGCGAGAGGCGGGTTATGACACCTTTATGCAAAATGTGTGCCTCATCGCTTCCTTTTTTTGTGTGTTTGTTTGTCTGCCTTCGTGCCTTGCCTGCTGTCTCTTGTGCTTCATCTCGGTGTGGGCAACGCGGGGTATATAAAACAAAAAGAAAATTAAGACGGGTTTTCTTCCTGTCCTTATTTATAACGCGTACGCTTGTTTGTCTTTTTTTCTATGTGGTGTTTTTTGTTTGATTTTTTGTTTTTTTTTGTGTTTTGCTCTTTTGACATCTATTTGGCTTCCCTCGGTGCCCCCCCCATTCGCCCATCACCAATAACTTTTTGTATGCTCCTAGAGGAGAGAGTGAGGCTTCCGTCTGTCCATTCTGTTCGCACTCTCTTCTGATGTTTGGATTTCGGTGACGCGGCAATGCCAAGTTGTGGCGCCGTCACCCGCACAAACTTGACTATGTGGGCATTCTCTCCTGTCGTCTATTTATTTACGTTGTTGAGCGATATTTGGTTGTGCGTGTAAGTGTCTGTGTGTTTGTGTGTGTGTCTGTGTGTTTGTGTGTGTTTGTGTGTGTGTGTGTGTGTGTGTGCAACACGGACGATGGGGAAGACGAGTGAGGAGGGGAAGAGGAGGTGCTTGAGAGAGGCACTCAGTTTTGACGGCTTTATTGTCCGTTGTTTGTTCGTAGGTCTCGTGCTTCGTCTGGTTCCTCATTATCTTGCCGCCTCCGTTGTGATGTGATTCTTTCGTTCGCCTCGTTGTACTGTTATGGTGGGCACTCGGCTTGCCGCGCTGCCCGGCCCGCAGACGATGTATTGAAGCCGCTCCGCTGCGTGCTGCGACACTTGTTCTGGCCCCCCCC